CAGTAAGTCTGTGGATCGCTATAGGAAGAGCTGATGCTTTTAGGATATTGAATCTTGCACCCCAGGATCGGCACAGTCATGCACTGCGTGATGCCATTTTGGTCAATGATGGACCGCATATACGATGGTGGTCCCGTAAGATTAGTACCATACAGCCTAGGTGTGTAGCGGGCTGTACCATCTAGGTTTGTGTAAGTGCACGCTATGATGTCTGCACAATAATGAAGTTGCCTGATGATGCGTTCTCAGCGTCTCCGCATCGTTAAGTGGCACATGGCTGTATGTCTTCTTTTATGTCTGTTAGTAAAGTTTTCTAATCTTCTTTATAAAGATCTTACACATTTTCATTAGATTTATTTCTAGATACTTTATACTTCAGCTACTATTGCAAATGCTAACTTTTTAAAATAAACACCTTTATTGTTTTATTGTGTGTTTATAACAAACCGCAAAACTCACCTATTTAAGGTGTACAATTTAATAGTTCTAGTACATTCGCAGAGCCATGCAACCATCACCAAAATCTAAGTTTAGAATGTTTTTATCACCCCAAAAGAAACGCCGTCCCCATTAACAGTCACCCCCCCACCCACCCAACTCCTGGCAGGAAGGAATGAGCGAATGATGAGTGAATGAATGAATTCATGCCCGTGCAGCAGGCTTGGAAGGCCTGGCCCAGCCTTTGCTTTCTGTGTTATTTCCCCTCTCATCTCCTTTACTGCTCTGGTCTCCAGGCTGATCGCCCGCCTCTTTCCTTCTCCTGCACCGTCCTTCACCCTTCACACCCTCCACCAAGAAGACAGTGTTCCACCCACTTCTTTCCTAGGAAGCCCTCGGTAGCTCCCTTGGGAATCCGGCTGCACTCCCAGCATGGTTTCCAGGGGGAAGTGCAGGCTGATGACTCCAGCACCTGAGAAACAGACTTTTGGGGTTCAACTCTTCTGTGAGTCGGAGGCGGGCTCCTCTGGGCCCTTCGTTCGTGCAGCGTCCTCAGAAAGTAAACATGGTCGACCTGATTCTTCCCCTCCACTTCCTCCTGAGTCAGAGTCCTCTTGGGTTAACTCAGGGAAGAGGCTAAGCTAAATTAAGCCCTGAAACCCGGCACCTCTGTGACAGGCGCTTGGTTTTGCCTGAGTGACTGCGGTGATGGGTCTTTGGTTTTAAGGGCAGCACTAATTGTGTCTCTTTAGACGGACCTTGGCAATCTATTCCCTGCCCTGCAAAGATGGGCGGATGCCAGATCCCTCGGCAGCACCCACCCCTTCGTCCAGCACACTTTTCCTAGGGACCTGGTCCCTGCCAGGCGCTGTGCCTGGAGGCGGAGATTCAACAGCTTGCCCCCAAGGCTGGAAGTCTAGCTATGGAGACTACCAGACACAAGAGACCTGTTAAAGAGATACCTGGTGTCTGTCCAGAGCAGAGAAGAGAGTGGGTGTCTATAGTACCTTCTCGTGCAAAGGCCGGGCCATGGGGTCACCAAAATAAAAGAAGGGATTGGTCTAGCACTCACAAACAAGCAAGCGGACACAACCGCTCTGAAAAACTGTTCAGCAATATCTGCTGAAGCCGAACACAGGCATACCCTATACCCCAGCAATTCCTCTCCTGGGTGTGTGCAGCCATTAGGAAATTGCACTCGTATAAATTTTTCATCAAAAGAAACTATTGCAAGCAAATATAGAACTCTAGTTAATACATGCATGCTGCAGTATTTAAGGGGAAGTGTAATAATATTTGCGGTTTACTTTGAAATGTGCCCAAAAAAGAAGATGGACGGATAGACCCATGGATAGATATCCAATAAAGTAAGTATAGTAACGTGTTGGTGAAATTTCGATGGTGAGGGTGTGGGTACTCACCATAAAGTTTTTTTCAACTTTGCTATATGTTGAAAAATTTCATGTAAATCATTGGGGAAAATGCATATGTATGTTTGCCAACAGACATGTACGAGAATGTTCAGAGCAGCATAATGGCCTCAAACTGGAAGCAACCCAAATGCCCATCAGCAGTAACATAGAGGCATAAATTGTGGGTCTGTTTCTATAAAGGGATACTATTCACAATGAGCGTGAATGAGCCACAGCTACACGCAGCAATGTGGGTGAATGTCTCCAACATAATTTTGGGGGAAACAGCTAGACTCGAAAGAGGACTTGCTGTATGATTCTAGTTAAATAAAATTCACAAATGGGCAAAACTAACCCGGGGTGTTAGAAGTCAGGATAGTGGTCTTCGGGGAGAGGAGAGAAAGGGGTAGTGAGAGGCATGGGGCACCATGGGGGCCTTTTGAGGGGCTGGAAGATTCTGTTTCTTGATCTTTGTGCTAGCTAAACAGAGGTGAGCATGTATCAAGCTGTACACTTCAAGTGTGCACTTTTCTGTGTGTGTATATACATCGTCAAAGGTTGAACTAGGGAAAAAAGAAACAAAACCAATCAGATCTACCTAGAAGCTCTATCTGGTGAGCTGTGGGGGTAGAGACCTGCTCTAAGCCTGTCTAGTGAACCAAATTTGTGAAGGAAATCAAGCTTCGCTCGAAGATACTCATTCGTTCCTTTGTGCACCCGTTCATGTTGCATTAATTCCCCCAGTCTTCAGCGATTGTCTGTCTCTCCTTCACACAGACAGCTATTTGCATGTACTGTTTTCGAAGTCTGGACTCGATCCACAGTGTCTGACCCAGCCCTTTCAGGGTTCCTGTGCCCACAGAGGGAGGCGTGCAGACACTTCACTCTGCAGCCACACTCCCCACCTTCCTGGATTCCTGTTTATGATCCTTCCTGGAGAGCTTCCTTGAGAAATCCTTTGACCGTGTGTAGTCAGAGTTCTCCAGAGAAACAGAACCAATAAGAGATAGATCGGTAGACAGGTAGATGGATAGATAGATGAGTAGATGGACAGATGGATAGATGGATGGATGGATGGATAGCTGGATAGATAGGTAGATAGATAGGTAGATAGATAGATAGATAGATAGATAGGTAGATGGATGGATGGATAGATAGATAGAAGGGTGGGTGGGTGGATAGATGAATGGATGGATAGATAGGTAGGTAGGTACATAGATAGATAGATAGATGGATGGATGGACAGATGGCTGGATGGATAGATAGATAGGTAGGTAGGTACATAGATAGATAGGTAGGTAGGTAGGTAGGTAGGCAGATAGATAATAGATGGACAGACAAAGAGATTTATTATGAGAAATTGGCTCATGTCATCGTGGAGGCTGGCAAGTCTCAAGATCTGCAGGGTGAGTCAGCAACTAGCAGGCTCCAGAGAGCCGATGGTTTAGTTTCAGTATGGAGGCCAGCAGGCTCAAGACCCAGGAAGAGCTGATGTTTCAGTTTAAATCCGAGGGACAGGAGAAAGCTCATGTCCCAGCTCAAAGGACGTCAGGCCAGAGAAACTTCCCCTTACTCAGACCTTTTTCACTATTCAGGCCTTCCACTGATTAGACAAGGCCCACCCACATTAGGGAAGGGCCATCTGCCTTACTCAGTCTACCAATTCAGATGTTCATCTCATCCAGCAGCACCCTCATAGACACACCCGGGATCATGTTTGACCAAACGTCTGGGCACCTCATAACTCAATTAACCATCACAGCTCTGGTGCATGAAAAGCCTTCTGGCTCTAAAGTGCAACTCTCTACTGGAAGAAATGCGGCTGGGGGCCCTGGTCTGGCCCACAGCACATCCCGTCAAGTTGACAGGCTGCCGCCATCACCGCATATCGGTCATTTTTTGCATATGGTTTGGATTAGTAATCAGTGGAAAGCAAGGCTTCAGCTGCCCGCTGGGCCCCTGGATGGCCATGTGCATTGTCGTAGAGAATAAGAAATGATCTTGGTTATTGCAGAATGTATCATACATGCAAAAGAACTGCTGAAACAACCGCGTACTGCTTAAAGGATGAGGAGAAAAATGGGCACCCAGGTACCCCCCCCACCCCGCTTGACACATGCAAAATGAGCCGACGTTGAAGGCCTCTAGTGCCCCTCCCAGATGGCCTCCCTCTCTGCCCTCGCCTGGAGGGAGCCACTCTGCTGAATTCTGTGCTGATCACTCTCTTGCTTTTTATGAAAACCAAAGTATGTCTCTCCAGTGGACTCACCCTGGACCCACTGTGCACGTGCTTTGTCACTCCACGGTAAGTATTGGGGCTTCAACCACGGTGTCAGGTGGAGCCTCATTTCGTTCATTCCACTGTCATATGAAATTCCATCGTAAGGACGTGTCCATCTGCCCCACCTCGGGCACGTGTTCTGCTGGCTCCCAGTCCTCTGCTGCCACACGCGAAGCTCGTGGGAGCGTTCCTGCCCGCATCTCCAGGTGCCCGGGTGTGGGGATTTCTCTAGGATGTACAGCTCAGAGAGCAGGTGTCCAGCCCAGCTCTGGAACATGTGTCTCTTCACTTTTCTAGGTGATGCCAGGGAACTTTCCAGAATGATTACCAATTTATATCCTGCTAGAGGTTATGCGAGTTTCTCGTGCTGTTCCCCTCATCCCCTTGCCATCCTCTCTGGTCTCAGTAAATCGCCTTTCCCACATCCCGTCTGTCCGCCCCTGCGCACATCACAGCCGGCGCTCAGAACGGGGCAACGGCCACTCCCTCCCGCATGCTCCGGGCAAGCGCAGGGCAGCACGTTTCTTGGGTGTGACTCAGGACTTGAATGTGTGTAACATTCCCGCCGCGGGGGGAAAGCGCACATGTTTTAGTTGGATTGCTCTAAAGCAGCCTGCATTTCTGCTTCTAGGAAAAGGGATAAAACATGCTTAATAGAGTGAGTGGTGCCCAGGCCAGTGTCAGGACAGTCATGCTCTGCCATTTCCCCACGGCCAAGAGCCGTGTGTCCCATTGGATCCGTGGGTGGATTTTTTCTCCCACCTGATCTAGTCCCCAGGCAGGAAGTCACCTGGCCCTCCAGATCTCCCTGGCTGGGGAGACAGCACTTCCAAACAGTCATCTTCTGTGCTGTCTCTTTCTAATTACAGGTTAGCCTGGGGAGGAAGATAAAGACATTTGCAACCAAGATGGTAATCACGAGTGGAAATGACGAAGACAGAGGAGGCCAAGAAAAAGAGAGCAAAGAGGAGAGTGTCTTGGCGATGCTGGGCATCATCGGGACCATCCTGAACCTAATCGTGATCATATTTGTGTACATATACACCACTCTGTGAACGGCCCAGCGGGTCCGCAGAGGCCTCGGGATGGCCAAGACGGGAGTCCTGTGTGTCGACAGATCGGTAAGCAGACACTGTGTGAACAAGCGAGCTTGACCTACCCACGCTGCTCGATCAAAGGCACCTTTGAACTTTATCAAAGGTCACAAAAATCAACCGATCCTGCTACAAGGAGCCGACACTAAAGCACAATGAACCCAACAGAACTCATCCACGCAACGAGGAGCTCAGCGTCTTCGGCAGAGGGCCCGAGAGAACGCTCGGAAGACCAGCCTTGGCTGCCGTCGGAGAGCGCATGGGTGCAGACGTTCAAGATGCCTGGTCGCTGACGACATCACGTATTCAAAGAGAGGAACAGGGCAGACTCCGCTCGTCGGTGTGTCTCCCAGGACGCGCGTTTCATCTTGACTCGATGAGCTGTCCAGGACGAGAAACCGCAGGGGCAGTCCTTTGACAGACATCCCATTCATCAAAAGTGTCTAACTATTTGATACCGGGGAGATAACTTATTTTTCTTTTTTCATTGGCTTGACATGTGTATCTGTTCATATCAAGGTTTATAAATATATATTTTTAATAAATGTGCTCTATTTTTTAGCATGAACCAAATATTTGGAGAGGCGCTCCCAGATACATAGAGCTTCCTTGCTTTCACTGCTCTGCCCTCTAGACTGCCGATGTTCTGTTGTGTCGTCATTCTAATCCTGTTTCTCTCATCTTTAGCCTTTGGCCTTCTCTCCCCCTCTCTTTGGTCTGGAGGACATTTTTCCATAATACCAGCCATGCTCTTGGTTGGTGCATGTTTTAAGATTGTCCGTCGAGCGGCTTTTTGTTGTAATATCGGAGATATAAAACGATCGTGGGCATGTGGACCTTAGATGCACCGTACCCTTACTGAGATTTATGCATGAACAAGGTCTGAGTGACAGATCAGCTTTAAAATAATCTAAAAAGGACTGTCATTGAGGAGGAGCGCAGCTAAGTTTGCAGATCCGCTACGGGATGGAATATTCCACTTCTTCTCCGCAGCATATTACTTCATTCTTGTGACCATTTGGCGATCAGATTTTGATTTTAATGGCCTTGTATGGGGGGGAAGCTCAGCGTTAGATGCATAATTCCTTCCTGAGCGAGCCGCCTGGGCTCCCTGGGGGGGTGTAAATGACACGGACTCCCCACTGTTTGAGCTCACCTGGGCGTTTCAAGCTGCAAGGACACCCCCATGACGGGTGACTTTTCAGGGGCACTGGAAGGGGACGGGGTGATGGCCCTAAGGGATCGCTGCACTTCCTAAAGTTCCTGGTTTACACCCACATGCAGCTGCTTCCTCCCGGGCTGGGATGGTGGAATAAATCTGAGTTTGCCCTGTTCTCCTGGCTTCCGGAGACAGGCCTTTGCTGGCTGCAGCGGCAAGGCCTTAAAAAGAGGGTCAGAATTCCTTCTGCCAGCACCAGCCTTGCCCGTGGGCAACAGAAGCAGTGACCTGCCTGGTTGGATTCGAATGATGTCCAGGAGGTCTCTGCCCCTTGATCTCTCCCTCCTCATGTTGTGGTGTCTGAAATTTCACCATTAGAGAGTCATTTCATGGGCTCTTCTATGGTTTCCAGCCTCTTTTATAAAGCAAATGCCCCTGAGCACCTGGCTCTGACATTGATTCATCAGATGTGTTCTCTTCCCCACCCAAAGGAAGGAGGTTGGTGTCCATTTAGGGCATCCTGTGTGCCAGGCGCTGTGCCACACACTGTATTCCTAAAGTCATTAAATTCTTGCAGTAACCTTGTGGGATAGGGATTCTGTTCCCCACGTTGTAGAAGAAGAAAGTAGGACTCAGCGAGATCAGGAATCTTCCCTGGGATCACGTGGTGAGTCGGGACTCTAACCCCTCATCTGCCTGATTTCCTCGCCCATTGAGGGCCTGGAGGCTGCTGGGAAGAGAAGGGGTGACTTCACAGGAAACGGTCCTGGGGGTCAGGACAGAAACCCAATGGCTTTGCTGAGGGCCAGCTCAGTATCCCTCCCTCTGCACCCCCATAATAATAAGCACCCCCTGGGAACTCCTTGACCGCTGGCAGAATAGCATACAGATAAGGACCAGGGACGAGAGGAGGCGGTTAGAGAGAAAATGGAATGTCGGGGGAGGCAGCTGTCTCACAGGCTCTGTGTGGTTCTAGAAAGACTGTATGAAAATTCTGAACAGTAAACAGAGTAAACAATAAAGGTGCAATGAAAAACACTATTGTTGTCCTTTTTTTTTAACCCCAACATTGCAGTATTTAAAATTTTCAGTGTCATTCCTTTGCCTATCCGTATGGCCGAGGGGTTAATCGGCGAGCTCTGCTTTGGCAGCCCGGGTTCGCGGGTTGGGATCCCAGGTACAGACCTCTATCACGCATCAGCCATGCTGTGGCAGGCGTCCCACGCATAACGTGGAGAAAGATGGGCGCAGGTGTTAGCTCAGGGCCAATCTTCCTCAACAACAAAAATCATCAAACTGAGTGTGATTCTGTTAAACCCAAACCATTTTGTTTAGACTGTAGAAGCCCCAGTGATTTTTCAAGTATACTAATTTGAAATTTATCGAAGGGAAAAACGGCCTTTCCAACCCTTGAACGGCTCCCCGATGGTTCTTCTAGATTGTCCTAATCCACAGCCTGGAAATCAAGCTGCCCATTCAGTGACTGCCACCCAGAGCGGCAGCCCTCTGTCCCGTGACTCTGAGACGCCTTGTCTTATTTCCCTCCTAATTTAGCAGCACCCAAGCACGCACACTGGGCAACTCACGGCTTCCCCCAGGATCTGAAGGCGTCTTGTGGGGATGTGGAGGGGAGAGGCTGCCGGTGGCCCTGGGTCTTCAGAGTCTCAGTGTACTGAACCGAGCCCGGCCAACAGCAGCAATAACCGAAACAATGCCAGGCCTCTATACTTTACCCAGCATGTCCCACCCTTCCTACAGACCCTCACAACGACCCCAGGAGATGTGTGTGCTTATCCCCATTTTGCAAGATGAAGGAAAAGGCTCATTGACTTTCCCAAGGTCGCACAGCCTGAAACCAGCAGAATCAGACCTTCTGGCTCCACATGCACGTGCCGTCAGCATCTTGCGGGGCCCAGGCTATGGGTTTGAGCTCCGCTGGCGCCATCTGGCTAGTTCTGTCTCGCAGCACACAGCTTCCTACCAACCCTGCCTCTCCCTGATCACAGTACAGGTGGCCCGAGAGCATGGCTGAATGGATGCCTTCACCTCTACCCTGGGAAAAAACTCAGAGAGCCTGGGTCCTGGCAGGGGAGGGCCAGGCATGCATGGCAGTGTGGCCTGGAGGTCGGGAGCTGCAAGGTGCTTGCTGATGGTGAGAAATTGGCTGGGCCTGGATCCCATTTCTGCCTCTTATGATTTGGGTGACCATGGGCGGTTCACACCAGCTCTGTCAGCCTCTCTTTTCCCCCCTGTAAATGGGGGGTAATAATAGCCCCCAAACCCCATCAGGTAGGTATTTCTACCTCATTGAACTGACGCAGAAAGTGCAACCTGGCAAGCTGAGTGGTGTTAACAGAGGCCCCAGGACCGTGAAGTCATTGGTGAGGAGTCAGACCTGGGTTCCAGGCAGGCTGCCTTCCCCTTTGCAGCCAAAGAGTGACATTTAAGCTCCCATATAGAGCCCCGGGGGCCTGAGGTTCCATGGCGGGGGAGAATGCCTCAAAGACTTTCGAGTGCAGTGTGAGGGACCCGGACCCTGTGATGGGAGAGGAGGGGCTTCGGGTCTCACGGATTCTGCAAGATTGGGGAGGGGCAGGGCAGAGTGACCCTCTCCCTAAGATTTTTTTCTTTTTTTAACCCATAAGCAAACTGAGGCCCAGACGGGATCAAGTCCCAGAGTCACACAGCTCGGGTGTGCTGACGTCTCAAGGGAAGCCTGGGAAAAGAAGGTTTATGGAGATTTTTTTATTTTAAAGGTTTTTGGTTATTGGGAGCTGGCCCACAAGCCTTTCTCATTGCCTATTTCTGTGATTTCTAAGCAAAGCAAATGGCTTCTCAGAGAATCCTGAGCTCTGCCCCTGTGTTATCCTCAGGAAGGTGGCAGCCTACCCCCAGAGCGCAGCTTTGCACAGAAGCAGAGAGAGGCCTTTTTACGCCCACAGCAAAAGGGGACCGATTGGCACAGCCACTCAGGCCTATTCTTTTATTCTGACTTATCTTTTCATAAATCACACATGCCTTGTCACAGTTGAAAAGAATTACAATTTTTCAAAATTCAGTACAACTAAAGAAAAATCTCCGAATATCACCACAAGCTGCAACCACTGTTAACATTTAGTGTATAAATTATGGACCAGGTGCCCTGCCTATCTGTTTGCTCAGACCATTCTCCTTCAAATTGTAAAATTCTGTTGCCTTCAGACAGAGCATATTCTTTATAGATCATAGTCCCCACGTCCCCCGTTACAGTGGACAGCTTCCCTCGTTTCTGTTACTTGCTGGGCCCAAAGACATTCTAGACGGCCATCCATGACTGGCCATCCAGACATTTCCCTGTGAACAGTAGATTGAATATTATAATTTGCACAAATGATGCCATGCGGTGAACATTGCTTCCAGACATTTTTTTCATTAACAGTCGTGAATGTGCTTCCATATCAATGACTCTATTTTGCAAACCGCTTGTAATGTCTGTTGTGTAGACATCACGTGTTTCCCCATTCTCTTACTGCTGGACCTTCAGGTTACTGTCAGCGTCTGCCGTGAACCACTCAGCTTTGCTCTTTAAAGCATCGCAAGCCTTGCCCTTACCTTCCCCATGACCCCTTAGAATGGTCTGAGGCGGTAGCCCTTACAACAAGCTTCAAGGACGGCATGCTGGTGAGTCACTGTTTCCCTGACTACACTGATGGTAGGAATCGCCTGGATGCTTATTAAAAACACACGTTCTCAGGCCTCTCCCCACCAGGCTTCTGCTGAATAGCTCTGCAGCAGAGCCTGGCCTGGGGTCTTTTTACTGCCTCCCAGATGATCAGGCATATATGGAGGTGTTGATACGGTTGGAGCCCAGGATGACCCCCTGAGCTGGGAGCCTGATTCTGAGGCCCCCCGGGACTCTGGCAGTTGTGCTGGTCTTGGACAGATCACTTCATTTCTTTTTACTCAGGTTCCCTCACCTATAAAAAACTGCTAGTAGCAGCTGGATCGCAGGTCATTATGAAAGTCAGACGAGAAAGCAGATACAGCTCCCAGCAGAATGCCTGGGAGGACAGGTGGGCTCTCTCAGGTGCCGCTGTGTACATCGCTGGATGGCAAAATCACAGGCATCCTTTAGTTAGAGTAAGTCTCCCCTCCCCCATCTCTCCCTACTCTCCCTCCTTCGCTGTCTCCCTTCCTCCCTCTCTCCCTCCTTCCCTCCCTCCACCTTCTCCCCTGCTCTCTCCCCTAAGCACCAGGGCTTCAGCTCACTTTCCTGTCCTTTGAATGTTCCCCTCACCACTTAGGCTCAGGGCTCCCTTTGCCCACCAGCTGCCTGCAGACCATCCCACCCAAGACTAAGCCCGCCTGCCTCCTTGTTTCATTGTTCTCCACAGAGACAATCCCATTGGCCATTTAAGCACTTTGCTAATGGCTACTTCAGGAGCCCAGACTGGCTATGATAATGCCACGCACTGGGAAGAGAAAGTTCCAGAGGCCACATTCCTGACTCCTCTCCTGCGAGAGCTCTCCTAGAAGACCCTGTGGCCTCCACCTCCCTGTATGGCGGGACTTCTATTACGAGCCACCCCCAGAAAGATCCCCCTGCGGGCTGGGAGGCCCTGTGACATCACTATGTGGTGATTCTTCCCTCTCAAGGGAAGCAGATGGGATGAACAGATTGTTAATACTCTCTGTTGTTCGTAAACAAGTTACACAAAACTCTCTACTTTTCACAGAAGAAGGGCTACGTATTGCCCTGAGAAATAAGATCACATAATATCTGTAAATTTTCCCCTATGAGCCTCTTCCTTAAGTGGGATGAGTTATTTACCATCTCCATTTCTGCTAAAGCATAATGGGGACGCTTTGGCAGAATAAGATAAGAGTCATGGTTGGATGTCTCCACGGCAAGGCGATGAAGGGTCGGCACACTTCCCTACCCAGGCAGCAGCTTGCCAGGTATGTAGAGACTTCAAAGCCTGAACATTCAGCTCTGTCACCTGTCCCTAATCACTGAGAGGACAGCACAACTCAACGTCCTGTCCAGACAGTGGCAGCCGTGGGCAGAAAGCCATGGAGTAACAGCTGAATCGCCCTAAGCATTGTGGTTAGTAAAAAATAAAAGGAACATCTTTGTTTAACTAGTGTCTGCCTCATTGGAACTAAAGGAATAAAAGTTAGAACAAGCAGAGGTGAGTCAGCCTTAATTCCGGCAAGATCCAAAGATTGCTCCTCAAACCCCCTACCTGTAAGCTGACATCTTTCTCTTAATCAGGAAGAAGCCACTTCTATCATAAAAGGCCAAACGCACAGACTGATGGTCCATCGGTGTGGACCAGATGCGAATCAAAGCTGCTGAGATGCCTACAGGCCCCTGAGTCTCTGGGACCTCCAGCCCAGGAAAGGTCAACTTCAGGCACTTCCACACAAACCTGCATATTCCAGAATAAACGTGTAGGTTCCACTGGAGTGCACACATCGTTAGCTCTCCTAATCCTTTGGTCAGTTCCCAAAGAGACTGAGAATTTGTAGTTGCTAGAACAGGAATCAGGCAACACACCACAATGTGGTTGTCCCTCCTGTCGTCATCATCCACCCACCCCACATCTCACCGACTAAGTCCCTATTGTCCCAACCTCTGAGGTCATTACCTGACCAAGGTTGGCTACACTTTTTGCTTGGTAACTTTGTCTTCAGTTCTAAAGAATCCATTTTAGTGTCTTTAGTTCCAAAGACTCTGCTGTAGAACTTTGGCTTCTGAAGCTGTGAGACTCTGCCTCAGTACAAAAGAGACGTGTGAACTCAACTTCAATGGGGTCTTCTGGTTTGATGTTGGCTCAGCCGCCCAAGCTGGGCAATCATTCTTTGCTATCACATTTTCCTTCAGAAAACTCAGTAGATAATTCCATTGTCTGTGGGTATTTGAGCAATAAACATATGAAGAAAGCCTGTCACTCACTCCTCACCAATGACCACCCCCTCGTTTTTTCTGACAACCAGGAAGTCATCCAGAAATGAGGATGGGGTCGGAACCAGAAAATCAGCATTCAAGTACCAAC